TAGAGATATTTTCAAGGGTCGTTGATTCTTTCAGTCCATTCTTAGAATATTTCTTTGGCTTATGAGATGGTCGCTTGCTGTTAGCAAACTCTCAATAGAAAGAAAGTAGCTTCCAATCCTGCGGTCGCTCATGTGAGCAACGTGACCACTCCAACACAACATATATTTAAGAAATGTTACTTCAATGTGACCATTTCGCCGTTGTGCGAGATTCCATGGGAAATAATTGACTGTGCGCTCGTGGGCAAGCGCGCTCAAGGTGCAATTCACGTTTACTGACCCTACATTAATTCTTCATTTTTTGACTCAACAATTGTGTCGTCCATGCATTCGACACAAGTATAGTTGATGAAAGTGATCAAGCTGCTTCAAGTGATCGCAAAAAACAACCCCTACACACACACACATATATACAAAGAATTATTGAATCTATTTTTAATCAGACATTTTTTATTACTTCAAACATTATTATAGTGGATACTCCGTATTTGAAAGAGACGCCCAAATTTTATTTTTAATTGTATGTATTATGTCTATTAGTCTGTGCATTCAGGAAACCTTAATCGAAGAGAACATGTCTAAGTTTTCTTGACTGCACAGGTTGATAACCATATTACAATTTAAAATAAAAAATGGGGTATCTATTTCAAATACGAGCATCCACTAAAAAAAAATCAATAACATTTGAAGTTCTCTCTCTCATGTGTATTTGGGCAGCAATCTATCTTTTATACGGACAATTTTTACACACTTTATGTCCAGAAAATAAAATAAAAAATATACAAATACAAGAAAAATTAAATAAAAACTTTAACTGCACTTACCATGTCAGTCATCTTTAATGAGACACATTGATTGATTCACACACATATATATATATATATATATATATATAGAGAGAGAGAGAGAGAGCATATTGATAAAATAGCTATATTTGGGAGTTATAATATTCAATGACTCAAGAAAATTCGGTGACTTATAATAAAAAAAAAAAATTCTAAACAAAACCAAAAACATTTATATATGTGCATATATCTGTATAAGATATACAAGGTGGTTCAAAAAGTAGGTAGTTGTTATTCATATACTGATGTGACTTTTTATTTTTTTTGTATAGGTTCTGAATTGTGTAACCACTATGCTATACTGTTTTTTTCAACACAATGGGCACATCTTTATTATGCTTTAGTAGTAAGGGACTATCTTGACCAAATCTTCCCATGATGTTGGATTGGATGACATGACAGCATTGAATGGTCACTATGTTCACCTAACAACACCAATAGACTTACTTTTTTCGAAGTAAAGAAAAATGATAAAAATCCCTACAAATTAAGAGTTCATCTTGGAAGCATTTATTGATTGATGCAAATTGGAATTTGTCATACTGGAGTGGTTCAAGGAATGTTGCAAGCTTGAAGGTCATTTTGAGCACCTATGAGATTAAACAGTGTCCAACAAACTTTAATTGCAATAAATAAATAAATGTAAATATAAAAAATAAACTGTAAAGTGTATACCTTTTTGGCTCACCCTGTATGTACACAAATGATTATTAAAAAAAAAAAAAAAAAAATCAACTTCTAAATTTTTAATTTCTAATGAAAATCTTGCTTGCTAATTTTAAATTTGAAACTTAGAATTAGTATTTGTCTGTTCCAGAGTAATTAATAAATATATATATATATATATATATATATATATATATATATATATATATATATGAGCATTGACATGAAACACTTGAGCCAAATAGACACTTGAATTTTTTTGTTAAAAAGTAATTAAAATATCCATTATTTTGGCATCCAGATCTTTTTATTCCTGTTGTCATCAGTTTCAGCAAATTTAGACTTTGGGTGTAATCCATAAGATGGAAACAGTTGGTTGGTGAAAAATGGATCAGACAAAACACTGAATGCTAAGAGGAGAAATTCAAAGATTTCAGCACCTGACGAAAGTTGGTTACATAAATATCAATGTTTTTACACATTAGTTGCTTTCACTAAGATGAAAATTATTTTCAGTTTTTAAGTTGATACAAATATCCAGTTTTTTGTTTTATATTTTTAATTCCACAAGTACAATCTTTAGATTCAAATACATCACCATCTGCCATTTTGGATCCTGTTCTTTTATTGTCCTTTCTCCTCAGCAATGTTTTCTCAATTTCTTTCACTCTCAGTAACCCACTTGCATCTTAGTGGCTTTATTGTCTTGCTTGGGTGAAATGATTAAAAAAAAAAAAAAAATTCTCAGGCTTTTTGATCTTAGACCACTTTTCAGGTAAATTAATCATTCTGTAAAAGAATTTAAGGTAAGTGTTTTGGCATCTACGTCATATGTAGAACTACTTACCATACCATACATGTCATAATTGGCTACATTCCATTTAAAATGTGACAGCCATCGTCATGCAGCAAAACACTGGAACTAAATTCTTTTTCCAGGAAGTCTTTTTTTTCCAATGCAGCAGACAATTGCAGAATAACTGTTTGTCGCAGTTCTGGCAGACATCACCCAAACCCACAGTAAATCCCATTTAGGTTCAGATGCCGTCTTACATTTACCCAGGTTTTTCATTTCAGATTCTCATTGTAAAATGCTATTCTTTCTGTAACTAAAGCAAACACAGAATCCATTTTCCCTTTGACTGCTGGTTTGACTGAGTGTAACAACAACAGGGCCCAGCAGATTTCAAAGACATTAAAATTATTCTATGACTGTTAAAAAAAAAAAAGAAAAAAAAAGAAAAAAAGTTGCATTATTTTTTAAATAGGGAAGTTTTAAAAGTTCAGTAAGTTAATAAAAAGTTCTTAACACCTAAATCTTCACTTATTTTGCTTGTGTTTAAAATCATATTCCAATAATGAGGGGGGGGGGAAGTAGGTGAAGCTGAAGGAGTAAAAAAACAAAAAAAACAAAACAGAATGCAGCGTTCCTTATTTTGATTAGTTGCAAAACCTTGACAAAATGTGGATACAATTTTTGGCAAGATGAGGGTGAATAACAACAACAACAAAGTAATTTAGTTATTTTTTTTTTATTTTTTTTTTTTTTTATTCTTCAATTTTTTTTTTTTTTTTTTTTTTTTACACTTCCATTGCCTTTAAACATGCCCCCACCCTGTTTCCACCCAACTTTCAACTATTATAAGTGTAATTAGTTGATTGCATCCCCCCAACCCCAGCACATTCACATCCAAGCAAACTGCAGTTTTATTTTGTTTGTTTGTTTTTTTTTTAAGACAAATTCTGAATAGTTTTTTTTGGTTTCAGAATACAGCAGATAAACCCTTTCATGCAATATAAAAAAAAAAAAAAAAAAAAATAAAAAAATAAAAAAAATAAAAAATAAAAAAAATCCCCACTTGCGTATTTCGACACATTGGCTTCAAAGCCAGTGCTTATCAATTTAGTTGAAATAATGTTTGTAAAAATGCGTGGAGGAAGAAAAAAAATATTTTTTGTGGTTTTCTTTTTTTCCAAAGAGTCACTCCGTCCCTCCAGTTGACATTTAGGCTTCTGAGTGTCATCAACTTCAAAAACTCAATAAATAAAACTTTGTACTATGACAGCAATAAACAGAAGCTTGAAAGAAGGGGTAAAACGGATCGTCTCATTCTCTTCATTCTACAGCCACACACACCCATTTCATTTTTCTTCTTTAAAATGTTATTTTCTGCAGGGAGAAAGAGAAAAATGAAAGAAAGGTTCTCCAATAAGAAAGGGTCTCTTATTTGGAATTTGGGGAAGTGGAAGTGTTTGTGTTGAAAATTTTTTTTAGTTTTTATCCTTTATTTCCTTCTCCATTTCCCCATCTGAAGATTTGCTTTCTTTACAAAATTGAAAATAAAAAGAAAATATAATACAAATTTGTAAGAATAAAAATACTGTAAGCATCTCTCCTTGACCTCCACTCATGGATTGAGTCAGGAGGCCAACTTTGCATGCCTGTTTTTAATGTCAACTTATGAAAAGAAATCTTGTGCATTAACATTGGTTGCATAAAGAGGTACTTCAGCATTTCAATAAAAAGGTGGAGGAGCTCACAAAAAAAAAAAAAAAAAAAAAAAAAAATCGATTGAAATAACTGCATTAATATAAGCAAAATATAGAGCAAATATAATAGCAGCAGTCAAAAGTAACAATAGAAAAATCCTTAATTCACATATTCCTTCAGAATAGACATGATGTTGGTTTGATTTAATTAAAATGTTCCCTATCTAGAGAAGTTAGAATAAAATTATTTTTATAAAATCCATTTTAAATATATTAAGAGAAAGGCTTTAGTAAAAAAAAAAATGATTAAAATGACAATTTACGAGTAATGTACATTACATTTACTTTAAAGAAGCCCATTAGAGACAAAGTAAAAATTACTTAATGCAGTCTCCAAGATGAAATGTTTAAAACTCTAAAATATACAAATATTTTTAATGATTTCATGAAAACACAACTGACATTCAAATATCACTCCTCTTACAGTCAGCATGTAATTTCATGAAGACATCAGTTACAATTGTACAGTGTTTTTTTTCTGTTAAATTGCCCTATTAAGGCAGCTAGGATAGCAAATTCATATAAAACGAGAGAAAAAATATTTTCATGAAAATGTAATGGTTTATTTGATAACACTTGAGGTAAATCATTTTTTAAACAAACCTCTTTACTAATTAAACTATCAGAGTCTAAAAGACAAAATAGATATGAAAAAGAATTTTCTTAAAACCTAATGAACAGGTCAATATTTGTAAATTAAAAATAATCATTATAATTTGACTGCAAAGATTGTAGCTTGTTTACTGCTGCTATTATGATGATGCTATTAAGTTGATGGCCTAACAATAGTATTGTATACCACAGCTGAGGCAGCTTAGATATGCAAGTATTACAGGTGAGGAGGAGGAGGAGGAGAACAAGGAGGTAAGACCGGATTTTCAGTGGGGAAATAGAGAAGCATAAAAAGATTGTAAGCAAGAAAACAGGAAAGGAAGTTACCGAGGAGAAAAAGAGAGGAGGAGGAGGAGAAAGAAGACATTTAAAAGGGAGAATTGAAGGTAAAAAGAAAGGTGTGAAAAAGAAATCAAGAGAAAGGATGTAAGAGAAAGAGACACACTATGAAACTTTGGCAGCTCGTTACGAAGATGCTGCAGATGAGGATGACGGAGATGGAGACATGGATTTCCTGAGGCTATTGGTACCTTGCGACTCTGACATCTTACTCAAATGCTTGGTAACCTGTAATTAAAAGTTAAAATAAATTAGCTAACAGTAAATGAAGAATTTTATTCTTTAAATTTTTAAAAATTGAGCAGGAATACTGACCTGCTGGTCTGTAGTGAATCATATGCCAAAATGTGCCATGTCATTCAAAAATCTGATACACTACCTATCCTATGTTTTTCTTAAAAACAAAAATCTTAAATGTTATGAAATAGGAAACCACTGAAAATCCTATTGATAAATTGTGAATAATTGAAAA